CTGCCAGTATGGTATCCAATACCCCGATCAACAGATAATTAATGACAATGATGATTATGATAAAGATTGATGGATAATAAAAAATCGTATAGTAATAAGACTATTTTGAACTTTGTACGAACGAATACTTTTTGTCAAACAGGGAGACATTTACGATCAATGTGTTCTGTGAGGACTGAACAAAGCCCGGAAGTTCTTTATATACTGAAAAGGGAAAAAGTGAGAGGCAGAGGGAGAGGCTGAGAGAGAGGGAGAGGCAAGGAGGGATGGGGGGAGAGGCTGAGAGAGGGAGGGGGGAGGAAGAGAGGGGGGAGGGAAGGAGAGAGGGGGGAGGAAAGGGAGAGGGGGAGACGGAGAAGAGAGGATAGAAGAAGGAGAGGAGAGGATAGAAGAATAGGAGAAAAAGAGAGAGGAGAAAAAGGAGAGGAAGAGGTAGAGGCTTAGAGAGGGTAGAGACAGAGAGGGAGGGGAGGGCAGAGAGGGAGGAGGGGGAGGGAGGGGGGGAGGGAGGGGGGGAGGGGAGGGAGGGAGGAGGGAGGGAGGGAGGGAGGGGAGGAGGGAGAGAGGGAGGAGAGAAGAGAGAGAGAGAGGAGAGAAGAGAGAGAGAGAGAGAGAGAAGAGGAGAGAGGAGAGAGAGAGGAGAGAGAGAGAAGAAGAGAGAGAGAGGGGGGGGCGAGAAAGAGAAGAGGAGAGGAAGAGAGAGAGAGAGAGAGAGAGAGAGAAGAGGGAGAGGAGAGAGCAGAAAGAAAGGGAGAGAAAGAGAGCGAAAGAGGGAGAAGAAAGAGGAGAGAAAGAGAGAGAGAGAGAGAGAGAGAGAGAGAGAGAGAGAGAGAGAGAAGAGAGAGAGAGAGAAGAGAGAGAAGAGGAAGGTGAGAGAGAGAGAAGAGAGAGAGAGAGAGAGAGAGAGATGAGAGAGAGGAGAGAGAGAGAGAGAGAGAGATGAGAGGGAGAGAGAGAGAGAGAGGGAGGGGGGGGGGGGGAGAAGAGAGAGAAAGAGGGAGAGAGAGAGAGAGAGAGAGAAGAGAGAGAGAGAGAGAGAGAGAGAGAGAGAGAGAGAGAGAGAGAGGGAGAGGAGAGAGAGAGAGAGCAGAGAGAGAGAGTGAGAGAGAGGAAGAGAGAGAGAGAGAGAGAGAGAGAGAGAGAAGAGAAGGAGAAGACAGGACGAGAGGTTGAGAGGAAANCTTCTCTTCCTCTCCCCTTTTTCCTCTCCTTTTTCCTCTCCTCTCTCTCCTCTCCTCTCCTTGCCTCTCCTCTCCTCTCCTCTCCTCTCCTTATGCCTCCTCCTCTCTCTCCTCTTCCTCTCTCCTCTCTTTCTTCTCTTCTCTTCTCTCCCCTCTCTTCTCCTTTCCTCCCCCCTCTTCTCGCCCTCGCCTCGCCTCTCCTCTCCTTTCCTCTCCTTCCCACCTCCTCTCCTCTTCCCCTCTTCTCCTCTTCCTTCTCCTCGCCTCTCCTCTCCTCTCCTCTCCTCCCCTCCCCCTTCCCCTCCTCTTTTACCCTCCCCCCTTCTTTCACTCCGGAATGCTGGATAGTCTTAACCTGCTCTTTCTTTTTCTTTTTCTTGTTTTTTTTCCCGCCTTGTTTTATTATTTCGGGTTTTCTGTTCTGCTTCTGCATTTACTGCTTTTACTTCGTCGTCGTCTTCCACCCAACCACCACATCCAATTTCCACATTAAATCCACATCCACATCCACAATCCTCTCCTCTTCAAGTTCCTTTTCTTCCTCTTTCCCTCTTCCCTCTCGTGTTTCTTTTTCCTCTTCGTCTTCCTCTCCTTTTCCTTCTCTCGCTTCGTATTCGTCTTCCTCCTCGCAGTTTGTCCTTTGATTGTTTTTACTCTCCTCTGCTTTCTCTTATCACCTTCGTTATTTATGGTTTTATTGGTTCGCGCTGGGGTGGAGTGGTCTTGTCGTTCTCGTAGTATATTTCTTTGAGGGCGGAGATGGAATAGATAGATGGATATGAACAGAATAGATGTTTTACGTATGGACAGATAGATAGAAGATAGATAGATGGATTCGAACAGTAGATGGTTGATGGACAGATAGTGGTTACATGGACAAGATAGATAGATGGATAGATGGATGAACAGGTAGATGGTTAGATGAACAGATAGATGGTTACATGGACAGATAGATAGATGGATAGATGGATGAACAGGTAGATGGTTAGCTTAATGAACAGGTAGATGGTTGCTTGAAACAGATAGCAATGTTATAGAATAAACAGATAGCATGGATAGATAGCATAGATGAACAGGTAGATGGATAGAAATAAACGATAGATGGATGAACTTGAAACAGATAAGAATGGAAGGAATGGTAGATAGATAGATGGAATGCAACAGATACAGATGATGGATGAACAGATAGATGGATGGATGACAACCAGGATAGATGGATGGATGCAACAGAAGATGGATGGACAGATAGATAGATGGATGGACAGATAGATAGATGGACTGGACAGATAGATAGATGGATGGACAAGAATCAGATAGAT